AAGAAAATAAAAATATTGAACATGTCTTATAATATCAGACTGCTGTTTCTGTGTCTCTCCATCAGCATGTCCATTGAATACAGGGAGGGTTACCTACCAAAGTAGGATCAGGTCACTGTACTTGTCTTTTAAGATCTCAATTGGGTATAAGGGCAGGGACTTAATGCATGTGGAGTTACCATAGCAATTGCCAGAGGTAGCTCTGGGACAATCACATCCAGAAATATTGCAGAGATTTGAATAGCTCCCACTGCAGTTAGATGAGTTATGAATGTGTTTTGTGTGTTATCTATTACATGTGAAATGTTGGGTAGGTACTGGAGCAGAAATGGTACCTTTCTTTCATTAGTACCTCTCAGTCACCCACGTGTTTTTAGGGATCATGACCTTTTGTAATCATACTTGATGTAGCATGTGCTTTTCTCTTTAGGAGTGGCTATTTAATAGGAAATAGTAAGAGACTCTAGAATGCTTCAAACTGTATCTAATAGACTGCTATAGAAGAAGTTTGGTGTGTTTTAATACTTACAATTGATTGATACTCTGACGAGTTGCGTATTCTGAAGTATTTCAAAGCATTAAGCTCCTGTTGAGCAGCATATTTTGGATGTTATTTTTTAGAGAACAAGGAACAAAGTCTGTCCAGTGTGGTTGGCTTTTCTCAGTGTAATGTACTCTTACTGGGATTTTTTTTTTCCAGGATTCACCTCTGTTTGATCTTATTAAGCAGTCAAAAGAACGAGAAGGTCAGACCGATCAGCCTGAGCCCACTTCCACCCTGAATCTGCCTCTCCAACATAACCACACTGCAGCAGATCTGTAAGTGATGTACATGCTTGATGTCTAGTGAAACGTATAGTTGATATCTCCCTTAATATTTAAATCCTAGCCCCATCAAACTTGTATTTGCAAACTGTTTTCTTCCTTGCCTAGGAATAAATAAATCCTCTTATCAGAAAAATGTTTTTGGCTGGGTGTTAGCTGAAGTTGAAGCGAGTGGAAGGGTGTGAGTTTTGAGAGGAGAAGGGAAGGAGGAGAGAAAGGTGGAGCAGCTCCGTTGTGTGCTGTCACTAACACGTCTCTCTTGCTGTTTTAAGCTGTAGAAGAAAAGAATACAGATTAGTATTTAATCAATTCATTCAATAATTTGAGTTGTTAATTTATAATATGAGAATAGCAGGTTACAGTACCAATTTGTTTCCCTTATTAGAGGAGAGGGAAGAGTTTCTTCCAATATTATTCATATAAAATTGTTCCTTTATTCTGTGATGATAAAGTGCTTAATAGAAGTTAAATCCCCAGGTATCTTTCTCCTGTGAGATCTCCTAAGAAGAAAGCATCTGGACACCCTCAAAGCGGTACTTCTAATCCAGATGCTCAGCCATCTGCGACCTCACAAACACAGAAGCCACAGAAATCTACCTCCCTCTCTCTGTTCTACAAAAAAGGTTTGTTGCTACTGCAGATATTGAAGTTGCAAAGTTTCTTCTTGTTGTTTATCCTTTTCAGGTCTCAGCATTACTGAATAGGTTATGACAGATATGTAGCAAACACAGTACAAACTCTTAACTGGAATTGAAAGAAATAATAAAAAGTTACCAGAAGGTTAATACATGCTCTTTACATGGAATCATAGAGAGATTAAGGTTGGAAATGACCTCTAAGATCATCTAGTCCAACCATCAGCCAATCCCCACCATGCCCACTGACAATGTCCCTCAGTGCCACATCCACACAGGTCTTAAACACCTGCAGGGTCAGTGATTTCACCACCTCCCTGGGCAGCCATTCACTCTCTGGGCCTGACCTTCCAGCCAGTTTTTTACCTGTAAGAGTATGCCTGTCCACCCCATGAATCACCAGTTTCTCTAGGAGAGCAGTGTGGGAGTCAGAGCCAAAGGCTCTACTAAGTCTAGGTAGACTTCATCCACAATCTTTTTCTCATCCACTAGGCATATTAAATTTCAACTGAAAGTTTATCTATTATTTGTAAGAATGACCACATTGGCTCTGGTGAAGGGTTCTTCTATCATCTTTTTCCAACGTTGACCACAAATATGTGTCGTGGGCAGCTTAAGAGCTGGGCAAGCATATCTGGTGATTCCCCTGAATGCTTTCCCAAGCTTTGACTTTTTCCAGCTCAGAGTATTCCTGAGCTTTCTGCACTGTGTCTGTTTAATAACTCATAATGGATGTGTACAATACATCTGCAGTGTAGACTTCCAGATGTCCACTACCTGTTGTATCGAGTCTTTTCCATTCATTTACAACCTGGCTACTTCATTTCATGTGTTGTAGTTCTTGTGGTAGGACTTGGTAAACACTTAATTGCTGCCCATTCTCCATCACGTTTCTCTTATTTTGTATACCTCCTATTTTCTTTTGTTTCTCAAGTGTTTCGACTGGCCTATCTTCGATTGCATACCCTGTTCTTTCGGCTTCTCTCTGAACATCCTGACCTGGAGCCATTGATCTGGACCCTCTTCCAGCACACACTGCAAAATGAGTATGAACTTATGAGAGACAGGCACTTGGACCAGGTAACATTTTTCAGAAGTAAAATATAAGGTTTGAAAAGGCTTTCCTGAGCAGAAATGTTCCTTACACATTCTTAAGATGTCAAAAATTATAATTTGAGTTTTTATTACTCTGTTGATGACTCAAAGCAGAAATTAATTTAGTTAAGTGTCTTTTTGATGATCTCAGGTTTGCTTGTTAGATTATTTTGACTATCAAATATCCAAAATACCATTTATAGCTATTTTCAAAATAATGAACAGAGACTGTTAATTTGTGTAAGAAAATGCTGATTTTCCTTGAGAAGGTGTTTGGTTGAATCACCTTTTTTATTGTAGCCTGAAGTTGCAGTAAGTAAAATGAGTTTCAGAAGTTATTATCAGCTCTAGTTAGCTGATCACCATACAGAAATGAAAGAAAAAGTAGGTGATATATCATCTGGAAGTTGAACTGAAGGCTGGCTTAGAGAGCACAACCAGTAAGAGTTTATAAACTGAGCTTTTGCTTTTGTTTCCTAATGACAGTTCATGAAATACAGATTAAAACTCAGTAGTAAAGCTTCACAATGCTGGAGTTTCTGTGTTAGTATGAAAAAAAGGTATGAAAGCATCATCTAGAAGAGAAAAAAGGATTTCTAAACTTGAAATGAAAAAACATCTTATTTACTGCATTTCCTGTTGTCTTTTCCTGTTTCGTTAATAGATCATGATGTGTTCCATGTATGGCATATGCAAAGTAAAGAATGTGGATCTTAGATTTAAAACGATAGTTTCTGCATACAAAGAGCTCCCCAATACAAATCAAGAGGTATGGAAGTTCTTTAATATTGTCCCTTCATAAAATTGTTATAAATTACTTGCTTGCTTCTTTGTCTAAAAAAAAGCAACCCACAAAACAAGCTACACACAAGGATGGGAATGTTCATTACAAACTGTCCACATGCTTCATTATATTCTGGGGAGACCTCATTGCAGCCTTCCAATACTTGAAGGGAGCATATAAACAGGAGGGGGAACAGCTGTTTACGAGGGGGGATAGTGATAGGACAAGGGGGAATGGTTTTAAACTGAGACAGGGGAGGTTGAGCTTAGATATTAGGAAGAAGCTGTTCACTCAGAGGGTGGTGATGCACTGGAACAGGTTGCCCAAGGAGGTTGTGGATGCCCCATCCCTGGAGGCATTCAAGGCCAGGCTGGATGTGGCTCTGGGCAGCCTGGTCTGGTGGTTGGCGACCCTGCACATAGCAGGGGGTTGAAACGAGATGATCACTGTGGTCCTTTTCAACCCAGGCCATTCTATGATTCTATATATTCGCTCAGCAGAGTGGAAAATTAGCTCTAATACTAAGTATCTCTGTAAGCATCTTGCACCAATAGTTCGTTAGCTTTCAGAAAGCAAATTTCCTCCTGCCCTTTTAATTAAAGATAGCAAGTAACAGTTTATGATTCTATTTGTAGACTAGATGAGAAGTTCAAGTGTAGTACTGATAGGAATTTTCAAAAGCAACTTAAATTCCTTTAAGAACTACTTAACTTTCCTGGAACATTGAGGGGGAGTAGGCAGATTACTTATTTCAGCTGTCTTAAGTAAAAAATATGGTCATATGTCAAACAGGTATGTATGAAAAGGCCTGTTACAGTTGCAGGCTTGATTCTAACATGAAAAAGCTCATTAAAGCATTTCAAACGAAGGAACTTAATTTTTATTTCTCACTCTGCAGACTTTCAAACGTGTTCTTATCAGGGAAGAGCAGTATGACTCCATTATAGTCTTCTACAACTTAGTGTTCATGCAGAAACTGAAGACAAACATCCTACAGTATGCCTCCAACAGGGTAAGGTGTTAGTTGTATCCAGAACTGTTTATTTAATAGAATAGGAATTTATAGATGATAAAACCTTCTGATCCTGTTATTATTTTATAGCCTCCTACGCTGTCACCTATCCCACACATTCCTCGCAGCCCCTACCAGTTTTCCAATTCTCCTCGGCGTGTCCCTGCAGGCAATAACATCTACATCTCACCCTTGAAGAGCCCTTACAAATTCTCTGATGGGTTTCAGTCTCCCACAAAGATGACTCCGAGGTCCAGGTATGTTGGCTACAAACATCTCACTGAGTGAAGTGATTGGGAGATAGGATAGGTGCATGAGAGGTAGTGATAGGACAAGGGGGAATGGTTTTAAACTAAAGGAAGGGAGATTTAGGTTGGATGTCAGGGGAAGCTCTTTACAGAGAGAGTGGTGAGGTGCTGGCACAGGCTGCCCAGAGAGGTTGTGGATGCCCCTGGATCCCTGGAGGTGTTCAAGGCCAGATTGGATGGGCCCTGTGCAGCCTGGTCTGGTATTAAATGTGGAGGTTGGTGGCCCTGCTTGTGGTGAGGGGGTTGGAGATTTATGATCCTTGAGGTCTCTTCCAACCCGGGCCATTCTGTGATTCAAACTGTGGGTCGCTTGCTCTTAGCAAAGGATGACAGCAGAGTAGTCATATTATCTGTAAACAGCATTTCCATCTCAGTATTGAAAAGCCTGTGCAAATCTGTAGTGGGCTTTTCCAACTACTATATGCCTATCACACGTTTTAGGTTGAAGTCTTGTATGGGTTGATTAGCAAACATCTAAAAGTAATGATTATCAGGTACTCAGCATTTCCTTTTGATAAGGGCTGGGTTGTGTGGACCTTTCATTCTTCCAAGCCACAGCTTCTCATTTATCAGTGTAGGATGGTGGGTTTGACAATTAGACTTTCACTGGTCCTAATGGAAATGTGAATAATCTGAATGCAGCAAAGCACAGTTCAAGTTTGCACTGTTAAAGAGCTTCATTAATGCTGTAAGAAAGTCTGTGCAAATTAATGGGTGCTTCTCTTTGGAGGGCAGCTTCACTGAAATGCTTGTTTTCTTCTTTTGGCAGAATTCTGGTGTCAATTGGTGAAACGTTTGGGGTGAGTTTTACAGTTCTTACTGTCTGCATGGTGTTAGAGCCACAGGGTAGCCTGATGGCAGCCAGAGAGCTGGCTCATGGCTCTCATTTAATGTAGTCATTTTATGGAATTTATAAACACAAAGATTATAGGTATGTTCCATTCACTTCTTTCAAATATTCAGACTTACCTTTTAAAAAGTATAGCATTCTATTTTAGTTGGTGTGGAAGGAGGTTCCTCCCTGGAAGCATTCAGTGCCAGGCTGGATGGAGCTTTGGGTAACCTGATCTAGAGGGAGGTGTCCCTGCTTATAGCAGGGGTTGGAACTACATGATCTTAAAGGTCCCTTCCAACCACACCATTCTATGATTCTAAGGTTAGAGTTCTTAAGCTGCAGACTCACAGAACTAGTAACGTTTTAGTGGATATTGGGAAATTTGAGTAGTTTCAAGATTTATTGACCAACTTATTCACTATTTTCTTGTGATTTCAGACTTCTGAAAAGTTTCAAAAAATAAACCAGATGGTGTGCAACAGCGAGAGCCACGTAAAGCGCAGTGCCGAGCCCAGCGATGCCCCTAAGCCACTGAAGAGGCTGCGCTTCGATATAGAAGGGCAAGACGAGGCAGATGGAGGGTAGGAGATTGATGGTGGCTTTCTGCTAAACTGCTTAGGCTTGGTTCACGGAGCCTTCAGAATGCATCCTAACTTCTGTTCGAGGGTGGTGACACGCTGGAACAGGTTGCCCAAGGAGGTTGTGGATGCCCCATCCGTGGAGGCATTCAAGGCCAGGCTGGATGTGGCTCTGGGCAGCCTGGTCTGGTGGTTGGCGACCCTGCACATAGCAGGGGGTTGAAATGAGATGATCATTGCGGTCCTTTTCAACCCAGGCCGTTCCATGATTCTATTTATTTCTGAACTCCCACAAATACATTAAATGAGGGACGGTAGCAAAATACTTAGTTGGACATCGGGTGTTAAAAGCAAGGATGTATTCAGTGCCTCACACCCAGGTATTTATGCTGAGGGCTAAATTGTGCTGTCTTTAGCCAATCTTTAAAAATATTTTTTTAGAAATATGAGATAAAAAACCTCTCTTGTTTTTACTGTGGAGGAAAATACAGGTTGTATCTTTATAAAGTGAGGCAATAGTAATGAACCCTGATTTATGTGGGTGGGGTTTTTTTGTTTTTAACTTCCCTTTAATCAAATGCTTTCTGTCTGCAGCAAACACCTGCCCCAGGAGTCCAAGTTCCAACAAAAGCTTGCAGAAATGAGTGAGTATTATTCTTCTGGTAACTCCTCAGCAGTGAGTACCTCGCATAAACAGTTTGTTTCAATCAGACAAAAACACTGCTATCATTTCAGTGCTTACTTTTTTGTGCTTGCTCCACTGAAACACAGATGATTAAATGAAAATCCTCCAAAGCCTCTTTGGTGCTGTTAAAAGGCATAGTGGCATAGAAGTGCTAGAAAATGAGCATGACGTGTTCATCCTTAATATCAGAATTCTTGAAAGGGAATTAAATGTTTTGCTGTGCTTTGGGATCTGGCACTGCTTAACCCATGGGAACTGGGGCAGCACAGCAAAGCCCTGCATGAAGCTGCCCATTGCTTGTCTGAAGGGTGAAAAGGCAAAAGGGAGGGCACGGTAGCAAGGAGAGCTTCAGTGCGTGGGTGAATTCCTTCAGGTGTGTGAAATTAAGCAAGAATTGCTGAAATAACAATAAAATTATGCATTTATTTAAAAGTGCAGAATTTGCTTCGTTTAGAAGAGCGTACTTCTATTATTTCTTGGGTCATGACCAATTTGTGCAAGAAATAATCACGTCCAAAATAATTTTGAAGGAAGCATTTAACTTCATTCATTTTTCTTTCTAGCATCTACTCGAACAAGAATGCAGAAGCAGAAACTGAACGATGGAAACGATACCTCAGCCAATGAAGAAAAGTGAGATTCTCCTCAGGACCAGGGGCTGCTGCAGGCCCTCCCAGCTTTTGTTTTACTGCCTTCATTCATTGAGTTGCTTTTTCAGTTGCTTTTATCTCAAACCGATAGTTGAAAACCTTTGGACTTCTTTATTTTTTTCAAGGTTTTTCATGATACTTTGCCTTACGATGTAGCATGTATGCGATGTAAGCCACTGAATTTAATTTATACATTTTTGGAGGATTTTAAAAACCAGCTTGGAAAGTGTCTTAGTTTGCTGTTGCAGCGTTACGGATTGAAGCCAGTTCAGTTCACCTGGATTGAATTTTTTCTGTCTCAAGACAAAATGTTAGCTAGGGATCTGAAATGCACTAATTTTACTTCTTAGATTTCATTTTAATGTCGGATCTCAAAGCATTATTTGCAAATATTGAAAATTAGGGGTCAGATACCGCAAGGATTTCTGTCTGTGTGTGTAATTAACACATCCAATTCCCATTAACTTAAGCTGCACAGCAGCCGTGCAGGGTCAGGGAGAGGCCTTTTTGCCTGGAGAGGCAGAAAGCAGTGAGCTGTGCTGTACCTCAGGTACGTCCCGTTCTGCAGTTCCCCAGCTGTCACCCCCACACAATTCAGAGGGCCCAGCTTCAATTTCATTGAATCTCACAGAGATTGAATCCCACAAAGCAAAAAGGCGCATTTCCAAATGCAAAGTACCACGTTGTGCACTTCCATATGTTGGAAAACCTTGATTTAAAAAAAACAATAACAAAAAACAGAACACCCCCAACCTATGTCACACCTCACACACAGAAGATGGCAAAGATCTCACGATGTAGGATTCTCTTGAACCTCACAGCACAAAGCTGTGTGCCTGATGCGGTGCCTTACCCAAAAGGCAGAGCACAACAGGCAACATGGGAACAAATGTTTTTAAGTGTATTTATAAGTTATGAATTCAGATAGTGGATTTTTTTTTTTCTTGCAGTGATAAAAGGTCTGCAGAACAGCCAGCTAAGAGAAAAGGATGTTTTATTTCTAGAGAACTAAATACAATAAATGAGGTGCCACTTTTTTAAATGACCCATTCGAATGAAATCTAGCTCACGCAGCTGCTTAAATTGAAAGTTAGGATAGCAAAGCATCCTGCTCATCACACAGTAACACTTCTCTGCATAGAAGGTGTTTAGAAATGGTGTAGTGAACCTAAAATGCCTACAGTAGTGCCTGCTGAAGACCACTTGTGGTGTTGACCAAAAGCTGAAACTGGAGCTACAAAAACCTCCGCAAATGGCACACTGATTGGTCACTGAATTGTAAAATGAAACTGAGTTATTTTTTTATTCTCAGCACAGCTTCAACTTTTGTCCTGAAGAATGTACAGAAGTGTTAAGAGTGTTTATTATGTTTATTTTTTCACTTAACAGAGTTTTACAGACAGAATGTGTGTTACATTGGGGCTCGCTGGTCCCAAGCTCTGTTACAGCAGCTGAAGTTCTTCAGTGATCCTCGGGTGAGAGCGCTGCAGGCGCGACATGACAGAGCCCCACACCTAACAGATCTCCTAGTGCTTGACTGTGACACTGTGTGTGTTTGTTCCAACAGACTGAAGGCTTTACATCAAATGTATGACAATATTTTATACAACTCATCCGTTTATCTTCTTTCAAGATGAAATAAAATAGCTTTTAAAAGATCTTTAGTTGGTAGCTTTATTAGATGAGAAGGCGGCTTTTTATGGTAACTGTGCCCATCTATGTCACATTTCCTCCATGATTCTGCAGCTGATACGAGCAGAAGCTGCTCCATCAGGAGAGGGAATGGCCTCAAGCTGTGACAGGGGAGGTTCAGGTTGGTTATTAGGAAACATTTCTTCTCAGAAAGAGTGGTGAGGCAGTGGCACAGCGCTGCCCAGGGAGGTGGTGCAGTCACCATTCCTGCAGGTGTTCAAGAATGTGGATGCGGCACTGAGGGACGTGGTGAGTGGGCATGGTGGGATGGGCTGATGGTTGGACTAGGTGGTCTTGGTGGTCCTTTCCAACCTTAATGATTCTGCGTCTGAGTTAATCTGGAACTGTTCCTGATGGATCTTTTGCTCCAGGGTTATCGCTGATAACCCACATGTAGCTGCTTCATGGCCTGCATTGCTGCCACAGCCCTTGCAGAGGTGCCTGAGCCCTTCAGAGCGGTGGTTCGCATCACCACCACTTTTCATGATGGATTCTTTTGTTCTGAGAACTGCTCGAAATAGCCCAGCGTGTCAGAGAGCAGCGTGAGCTGCCACAGCCTTCTGGGCCAGGTGTCCGGCTGCAGGCGGGCAGGCAGCCCCACACACTTCCTGTGCTTTACGAGTCTGTAGGTGCCTCACGGCTCTGCTGAGCTTGCAGTGCTATTTGCGGAACCGACAGGCATGACATAACGCCCCGAGCACAAAGAGCACTCGCTAACTCACCAGCCCCCGCCCCTCTAAAAACATTTCATCAGCTGTATGCAGATACGTGTGCAGACAGGCGCCCTGCAATTAACAGCTTTCTATTCAGGGTTTGCAATCTTACTGTTCTTAAGTAGCCATCTCACTGCCAGACCCGACTTCAGAATGGCACAGAACATTGAACCCGGATAAAAGAAGAGTTCAGAGCAGAAGAGACGGATGGAAAATGTGACAGTATTTTCTGTGCCTTCATGGAAAGGATCAAACTCCATCTGTGATCACTATGGAGGAATGGACAGCCCTGGGAAGGGGCTGCTCCCCTCCATTGGAGCCAAGGGGAGTTCAGTGCTTGGCCATGCGGGCGGCTCAAGATGGCGGTGCTGCCCCTGGAATAAGTTGACTATATAATGTACATTTGCTTCAAAAGCTATTATTGGTTTGGGGTAATTTTATTGATTATTAAATAATTATTAGGGCATGAATTTATGTAAAAGGGGGAAATACACTTCAGGACATTCTGCAGCCCTTCTGCTTTGCGCACTCCTCGTTCTGCTTATGTCACCTTTATCTGGGGACAGCTACTTTCTTTAAAACACAAACATCTCTCCCAGAGATAGAATCTACTTCTTTTTTCCCTTCATGACTGACTACAGTCAATTCAGTTCACAAATCTGAGCAAAAATTATGTTAGACTTTGTTCCCTTCTTCTGAAAGAAAAAAAGATACGAAAAAGTGCCAACCAGCCACTCGCGCTTTGCAAATATGATGATGTTTTTATTAATGGTCTGTTAAACCCAGGCAAGGTTATAAAGAAACAAGAAACCAGAACCTATTTGTATGTTCAGGCTGTAACCCTGCTGCATCATTAGGTGGTACCCAGTGAGTCCTGGCTCTGCGGGGCAGCTGAGCACTCTGTTGTACAAGGAAAGCCTATAGAAGTGACTCAGCAGCTCACTTGGTACCAGGACAACCCACAGCACTGCAGCACTGACTCTTCAGCAATTTAAGCTTGAGGCGATCAGTTTCTCGTCATGTCTTTTCCTTGCAAATTCCACTCTATGTTTCCCTTTCTTAAGCAAAGATCCCTCTCTGAGCACCAGACACATTTTATGCTTGACCATATTCTCACGTAACAATACCCTTTTCTGTCTGCGGTGTCCTAAAAAACAAGAACCACCTCTTTAAGTATTTAACCTGCAGGATCCACAGTTTAACTTCATTGCAGACCACTGTACAATGGCAAAATCCATCCTGAATTTCTTCCAAAATGCCCCACAGGAGGGTTTTCAAGCGCATCTATGCACACGCATCCACGTTTAACCACTTACACCAGTATGTTTCTTAAACACTGACCATTAAGTGCCAAGGAAAGTGCATGCAAACGAAAGTTAGCTAATAAATAAATATAAGTCTCTATGAATACAATGCCATCACATCCAGAACCAACGCTATGTTATGGTGTGAGGGACAGCCAACACTGCCGTACTACACCCATAGTTGCCTTCGTTCAGTGCAGAGATGCTTTCTTTCTCTCAAGATGATGGTCTTTGTCAGCCACAGTGAAACTGCAGCCAACCTTTGCACAGTAGGTGGGAAATCATACACAGGAAGGAAATAATTTTTTTTAAAAAGGCACTGCTGTTTATGTTAAGCCAAAAAATGCCTCACTAAGAAAGCACGCTGTATTGACCGCAGTAGTTTCTATCTGGGGGTTTCAGGTTGTTGAACTGCCCTACGGAGGTGAGCCGGAGTAGGAAAGCGGCAGCACTGCCCAGGGATTTCTCTCTAGGGAGCCAGGCTCTTCCCTGAGCAGTGGACAGGTTTGATCAGATGTTGAGTAAAATAAAAAGTTTTTTAAAATGTTAGAATCTTAACATTTTGACAGTGGGAACATATGGAGAACATTTTTTGAACTTAATTCCAGCTTCATAAATACCATGACTGGGTGGAGCAGCTTTTGCCCTTCCTACACAAAGCAGTGCTGCCCAGCTGCCTCCGGCTCTCCTTGGCATCCAGCAGCCCTTTCGCCCCCATCTCCTCGGGTGCTACAAATGTGAGCTCTGTTGTTTGTCCAGGCTTGTGGCAGGCAGTCATGCTTCCCACCCACAGCTGCAGCCTTGCCTACAGCCAGTAGTGTCACAGAACCACAGAACAGCCTGGGTTGGAAGGGATCTTAAAGCCCTAACCCCCTGCCATGGGCAGTGCCACCCAGCAGCTCAGGCTGCCCAGGGCCCCATCCTACATCGCCTTGAGTACCTCCAGTAATGGGGGCACCCACAGCTTCTCTGGGCAGCTGTGCCAGGACCTCACTGCCCTATGAGTAAAAAATTACTTCCTAACATCTAACGTTTAGTTTTCCCCTTGTCCTATCACTATTTGCCCATGCAAGCTGCTACCCAAATGCAGGGCTGCAGCAGAGTCACTTGGTTCTTTGTGCTGCCAAGGCCACGCTGGCAGGTGACACTGGCAGTTCTCAGGCCCTGGGTGCACAGGACTGAGACTTCACCATGGCTGTCCCTGGCTCAACCAAATGGGTAGGAATTTCCCAGCCTTGGCTCACACAGTGTTGCCTTTTATCTGCTCTCTCGATATGATAAGTGTTGGGCTACAGCACGGTGAACTTGTGCCCCACCTGAGAACAGCCTGATCTGTGCGCCTGCAGCAAGCGCTTTTCAACACAGAATTACTACAACACATCATTTTCCCCTCAGGGAAGTTGTGGTTTCAATGAGATGGCACTATGTACTGGAAAGTTTTGACCAGTTCTATTTGAACATAAAATACTGACACAGCAGCTAAAGCATGGGTCTATGCTGCTGGAGGAAGCTGTATGACTACAGGATGGCAAAATAAGCTTGTTAGCAGTAGACGATACAATATACTCCTAGAGACAGTTTGAGGGAAAAGCCCAAACTGCAAGTCATTTTTTAGCACAGCATTTTCCCAAAATAATTTGCTTGCTGCTTTCTTCCTAAGTCAGTTTTGCCATCTCCACACCTTACATAAAATCACAACTAAAGAGACCAATGTGACGAGAGCATCTCCTCACTCCTCTTCTCTGAGAACTTGTTTCTCTTCTTCTTTCTCTTCAAGGAATACGAGCGCTTAAGAAATAATTCTCTGATATGACAAAGGACAGTAATTTCCACTTCAGAAATGAGGAAATGAGGCTGAGGTCATTTAAAGGAATTAAGTTCTTAGAAACCACATTTGAGGATTGGAATAAGTCATCAGAGGACTCTGGCAGGGCACGAGTCTGAGTGAAGGTGGCATGACATAGACCAGCACACTGAAACTGGCCATCCAGTTTTGTAAAATACTGCAGCTGTAAAATACTACAGCTGCTCCTCCTGCTCTGTGAAGAGAAATCATTTCTCACAGTTAATTCACAATTGCCTGTTAAAAAACATTCCAAGGAACTGCTCCGTAAGCTCAGCATCTTCTGTAAGAGCGCAACCCTTCCTATGCGTAACACAAGGTGGGATTTTATCTCAGCTCATGTTAGTCAGTTAGAAACTAAGTACCTACTCTGCCTCACCCATCCCACCCACCTCCATGGCCAGTGGACAACTCCTCTCATCTGACACAGGCACGGAATGCAACTGGTGGGGTCACCTGGAGAGGTATTGCAGCGCTGCCCAAAGGAGAACCTGAAGCGACACACCCAGCAGTTCTGCTTTTGGGACCCATTTTATCACTTTATGTTCTTTTCCACTCTTCTTAAGATGACCTGCTGGGGGACTGGCAGTAAGACAGGATTCAATGAACAAATCTCAGTGGAACTTCCCTTTTCTTGAGGTTTTGTTTAGGTTTCTTTTTCCTGATAACAAGCGACGAGGTGGTTTTCTGAGTGCTGTTACACACAGCACCACAATTCATGTCCAGATAACTACTGTTTGCTGTCCCACTGGGGTGCCAGGGAGCATTTCGTCTGTAACAGAGAGGTTTCATAACTGTCCACAACAATGGGCATATTGGCCAGCAACTTCAAATTCTAATATCCAGCTGAAGCCCTTCACAGTTTTGGTATTTACACTCTAAATAAACATACAGTGAGACAAAACCTCCTACCACACAGAAAGCTTCTCATCCTAAAGAATTTATAGTACTTTATCAAGTACTCAAAAACCAAGTTTGTCTCTAATCTGGATGACCTGGCACAAAGCTGCCCACTAGGGGCATATTAGCTTAGTTTGGTGATAGTAGTGTACTATGAAAGTTTTAGCAGCAAGGATGTCACTGCTCCATAAAATCCAGTTATAGGTTGTTTACATAAAAATAATATACTCAAAATAGCCACGATGACAAGCTTAGTTTGCTTGACTTTAAGTGAGAAAGGGGTAGTTACTGCATTAGGGTTTGTTGTCAAATTCTGAATGCTGGCTCTCCCTACACACCTATGCTGTAGTCATCTTTTCAAACCAGTACGTTAGCAGGCTTCAAGGCATTTCCCAAGCTGACGGACACTGAGTCTCTCTTCAAAGCTCTCCAAAGGAATGAGGCTGTGCTCTTCAGCTTGGTGGTAGTCAGCTCTCAATTTCGGAATGCTCCCACTCTGCTTGCTTTGCTAATGAAGTTTTTCAGGAGATCGTGGTCCATTTCTGCAAAGCCTTGAGTTTGTGTTACAACTGTTAAGTGGTTTATGCAAAATCTGAAGCAAAACTCTTCCAAGTCCTAAAAAGAAAGACAATTAATTTATAATATGAATGACTGACAGCAGAATTATTATCATTCTCCTCTTCCAAATCTATCATTTAATAAGCAGACACCATATCAATGACCAACCCTTTTTTGACCAGTTTCATTAGAACACAAATGATAGGATGAAAATTGTAAATACAAAGTTTGCCACAGTGTACATTAAAAACATACCTAAAAATAATCTGTAGCAGCAGATCTTTGTATTTCCTGAGGACAGGACAAAACATTTTGATCCTAACAGATGCATACAGCCCAAGTCAGTTGATTTTCTACACTAATGGTAGATAAACACTGAGCTATGATCTTTCACCTGCACAGTTCACGCACATTAACAAAAAATCAACCAAACAAAACTAATTTCTCTTTCTAAACTATCAAGCCTCTTTCACAAGCCTTCTCAGGACAGCCTTTTACTGAAGCACTGATGTGCTACAGACGGCTCTCAAACCAATTTTTACCATGTTAATGTAGTGCAGCCTTGGCTTACTTCACAATTCCTTAGACAAAGGTTATCCCATTACTAAAGAAGTCTTTGTTGCACTCATCAGAAGTAGTTCAATCCCTTTCTGAACTGTGGACAAAGGGAGGAGAGCAGTGATGTACTCCTGAGGTTGGCACATGCTGTTCTAGGAGCAGGTGAACCAATTCATGGGTTGATGACTGTGTTCAAGTGTTGCCTGTATTTAAAAATTATACAATGTGTGCAGAATGTATTATAGAAGGAAGAGCAGGATTGCATACATACAGTCATTCAGCCAATCCCTTTTACTGTGCTTCTGCCATTGTAATCTCTAGTACTTTGGGCTATTTTCACTACTTTAGGATACACTTACACGTATCTTTTAACCTGACACAGCTCAGTGAAAGCCACCTCTGTTTTTGAGATGGTCAAAAGTGGTGAAAAGCTCCTAAGAGAAAATCTCCAGAGTAAACGTGTAATGAAAACTTCCACTTTTCAGAGAACCAAACCGTTTGGTCCCTCTTCCCCTGCCCAATTTTCCCTGTTACATCAGGCTTCTACCACCACAGCACACTGAAACCACAATTCCTCTTCTTTGGTCTCAGTTGTTCATGCCTTCTGCTACTGATTATTAGCCTAGATATCTTGGTTAAGACTGACCTCATTACTCTACCAGCAGCTGGTATTCTTATCATCTACTAATCAGATGTTATTCCTGCTTGCGTTCTGAAACTCATTGTAAACTTCCAGCGTCCTCTTTGCAACTCCTATACACATACATTATTACACTGCTGTCATACAGCAATATTTCATCTCAGTTTTTGTTTCAGTTCCTTTTTTCTACTTGCTTCCTGTGCCTGGAACTGTCTACCAATGCATCTTATGTAAGCATCTGCTTTAAACACCATCCTATATCTTACAATGGAGCAAAAGCAAAAGGAAAATGGATATAATGAAAAAAACCCATGTATCACCTACATAGAGTTATAGAATCAAAGAATCATAGAATCGCTCAGGTTGGAAAAGACCTTAAAGATCATCAAGTCCAACCACAACCTGACCATACTACCCTAACTCTAACAACTCTCCGCTAAATCAGTCTCTGAGCACCACATCCAAACAGTTTTTAAATACATCCAGGGATGGTGCCTCAATCACCTCCCTGGGGAGCCTATTCCAGTGCTTAACAGCCCTTTCTGTGAAGAAGTTATTCCTGATAACCTAAACCTCCCCTGGTGCCACTTGAGGTCATTTCCCTTCATCCTGTCACCTGTCACCAGTGAGAAGAGACCAACCCCGCTCTCGCTGTAATCACTTTTCAGGTACTGGAAAAGAGCAATAAGGTCTCCCCTCAGCCTCCTCTTCCCCATAGTAAACAGCCCCAGTTCCTTCAGTCTCTCCTCATAGGGCATATTCTCCAAGCCCTTCACAAGCCTTGCTGCCCTTCTCTGGATGTGCTCCAGCACCTCGATATCCCTTCTGTACTGAGGTGCCCAAAACTGAACACAGTACTCGAGGTGAGGCCCCACCAGTGCTGAGTACAAGGGCAGGATTACTTTAGTCCTGCTCACCACACCATTCCTGATACAAGCCAGGATACCATTGGCCTTCTTGGCCACCTGGGCACACTGCTGGCTCGTATTCAGCCAACTGTCCATCAGTACACCAAGGTCCTGGTGTCATCTGTGAACTTTTACTGAGGGTGCACTCAATCCCCCCTTCAAAATTACCAATAAAGATGTTGAATAGGAATGGCCCCAGAACGGAGCCCTGGGGGACACCACTCGTGACTGGCTGCCCACTGGATTTAACTCCACTGACCACAACTCTTTGGGCCTGGCCTTCTAGTCAGTGTTTCACTCAGCAGAGCGTACACCCATCCACATCCAAACTGTGGGCAGCCAGCTTCTCCGCGAGGATGCCATGGAGGACAGTATCAAAGGCTTTACAAATGTCCAGCTAGGCCACACCTAGCCTTACCTTCATCCACTAAGCAGGTCATAGAGCGAAACCAGATTAATCAAACAGGATCCACCATTCGTAAACCCATGCTGACTGGGCCTGATCCCCCGGTTGACCTTCAACTGATCTATGATGGCTCCTGAATCATCCATTCCATCACCTTCCTGGCACCAAGGTGAGACTGATAGGTCTGTAGCTACCAGGATCATCTTTCCAGCCCCTTCTGAAGATGGGCATTTGCCGGGACATCCCCAGTTAGCCAGGACTGCCAAAGAATGATGGAGAGAGCTTGGCAATCATATCCGCCAACTCCTGCAGCACACTAGGGTGCAATCCATCCAGCTCCATGGACTTGTGAGCACCCAGCTTTTGGAGCAGGTCCAAAACCAGCTCATCGTGGATTATGCAGGGCCTATTCTGTTCCCCATCCCTATCTACTAGAGCTAGGGGCTGTGTGCCCAGGGAGCAACCAGTCTTACCATCAAAGACCGAGGCAAAGAAGGCATTAAGTACCTCAGCCTTATCCCGATCCTTGGTCACCATGTTCCCCTCTGCATCCAACATGGCATAGAGATTCTCTCTAGCCTTCCTCTTACTGTTGATGTATTTACAGAAGTATTTATTGTTGTCTTTCACCTTAGTGGCCAACTTCAATTCCAGCTAATTTTCTCCCTGCACACATTTCCTGTGTACTTGCAATCCTCACAAGTAGCTTGCCCCCTCTTCCAAAGACCATAAATTTTCCTTTTGTTCCTGAGGGCTCTGTACAGCCGAAGAGGTCTCATTCCCCATTGGCTTGTCTTCTGTGACATGGGGATGGTCAGCTCCTGCACATTTAAAATTATTTTCTTAAAGTATTCCCATCCTTATTGGGCTCCCATGCCCTCCAGAACAACCTCCCAAGAGACTCTCTTAACCATGGTCCAAAAGAGACCAAAGTCTGCCCTCTAGAAGTCCAAAGTGGCAGTTCTGCTGACTCTCCCCTGTGCTTCAACAAGGATCAAAAAATCCATCATTTCCCGATCACTTCGCGCCAGCTGGCCTCCAACCTTTACATCCCCCACAAGACCTCTGCTAACAAACAGCAGGTCCAGGATTTCTATCTCACCTTTTGGCTCTTCTAACCGGTCAGCTTCTGTGTTTAGCTATCTTAGTTTTATTCTTATGTAGCGAAAGAAATTTTGAACAGAAAGATCAGGACTCCTGAGCTAACGAGGCTGCTCTGTTATAACAAGTTTAAAACAAGAACGTGGATTTCCAGCATAATCAAACCCACTGCACTGTTATATCGACAGCACGGCATTAAGAAGATGAGGAAAGGAAAACATCTTTCCAAGTATTTGTCTGTTTATAAATAAAGTACTTGTAGTACTGCTGGTGAGGTGCTAGAACAGGCTGCCCAGAGAGGTTGTGGATACCCCATCCCTGGAGGTGTTCAAGGGCAGGTTGGATGGGGCCCTGGGCAGCCGGGTCTAGTATTAAATGTGGAGGTTGGTGGCCCTGCCTGTGGCAGGGGAATTGGAGCTTTATGATCCTTGAGGGCCCTTCCAACCCAGGCTATTCTGTGATTCTGTGATTTTGAGTGCGAGCAAAACACTCCAGGGCCAAGGGCAGGCCAGAGGACAGGATATGAAAAGAGGATAACAACAATTAGGAAATTAGTTAAGCAACACAGTGAAAATGGATTTCTGATATAAGCACGAGGGCAAACAGGGAAGGGCTTTCCAGGTAAATTTTCCCACTGCCTGTAAAAGGCAGTAGCAGACAAAACGAGTGGGTGGAGATCTTCAGGAAGTGAACAGGCAAAATCTGAAGGTGGAGAAGTAAATGGCAGTGAGACATGTGCATGCCATGCTGTGCTACATTACAAGACAGGAAGGAGATTAAGAATCCTGACTCACAGTTGCAAGTCAATGGGCAGGAAGATAACACTAGTAGCTGCAGCTTTTATGGTTTAAGTGAGATAAAACAAATACCTGGGAAGCCAGAAGGGGCAATTGCAAGTAATCATGACTTATAAGTTAAATGCAGTTATGTTTATATTAAATACTTTCTGAGAAAAAATTGTTTGCCTGAAGTGAAGTTCTCCCTACCTGAGCTTCATATTTGACAGCAGCAGAAAGAAGAGCGATGGCGTTCTCTTCACAAATGCCTTGTTTGATTGTTTGCTGGCAAAGCTTTTTCAATCTGTTTTCTCTATACAGTGTTGCCAAATCTAGCAGTCCTGTAAAAATTCATACACTTTACCCATCCTGGTGCAAAAAATGTACACTTCTACTCAAACAAATAAATTGCCCCATTATTTTAGGGTGAACTGAATTAATCAGACTTTTTCTCTTCTACCTCCACATAAAACATCCTTTTTTCAAGGTCCTTGGATGACACATCAGGAAGGGACACTTTACTAGAATGAAAGTCTTCTGTCACCTTGTTCACTGTACTACACCTCATTCAGGGTAGTGATTAGGGACTCACATTTACGTGTGGAGCAACTCCCTTTTCATTCATGCTAAAAACGCTGTAGTTACTCAGACAGGAAAGCATTCTGATGGCATTAGTGCCTTTGTAAGGAAAAAGCACCTCAGATGAGAAGCAATAGAGTTCTTTCTGGATCTAAACTTTTGATCTTACTGTATCCCCACTACTCACTCTCCAGCATCCCTTCCTCCTGACAGCTGTCAACCTGAAGATTTAAGTGCTAACAGAACTCAAATTAGCAGCCCTACTTTCCTCATCCTGTCAGAGCACACAAATTCAACTTTTCAGAAACAGAAACCCAGAGTTGTTTCCATTTATGGCAAATACCTATGGCATCTTCAGGAGGGAGCCTAATACTGTCTGTATACAGGTACTCCAGGAAGGCTCGGTAAACAGGATAAGAAAATTCACTCATTTCTATAATTTCATCATCATTATTCAGTATGGAACGAAAATGTTCACACCTACGAAAGAAGAACAACAGTTACAGAAAGAGTTAAGCTTGAAAGATGAGCTGCAGTAAGATGTTGATGAAACAATCAGTCACAACAGACCAAATACACAACCATAAACACTAGCTGTATGATTTCTTGGTATAAACACATTAATTTCTTCAGAGCTTTTTATGTAATTCAGAATTGTATTTTCCTTCTGCTGCTAGTACTTTCTATTCTAAAATTCTTAAGAAATAATGAGCATGCTTTCATCCCACTGTGGAACAGACCTTTGGGATGGGCAGCTGTCCCAGTGGTACCACATACATAACAGTAAAAAAGTCAGAAAGAAAGGTGGTGCACACTGCTCCCTTGAAAATAAATAAATCAAACCCAACTGCTCCTCATCCTTCAGTTCACAAAGTACCCTGGAGTGACTCAGCCCAGGAGTGCCTCTGGCAAAGAGGAAATAAGGCATTCCAAACAGAGAATAAGCAACGTGGGTGAAACGTGATGAAACCAGTACAGAAGAAAATAGTAATGTCAGTAATTGGAAGACTAAGACGGGTACAGAAAAGACACACACACAAAAAAAAAAGTATATATATAGATATAAAAAGAATTAACACAGACATTTAATTAATGCAGTAATATACATGAAATCACAAACATGAATCAGGATCAGAGATAGGAGAACAAAAGCAGCGATACACAGGATGAGATAATAAAGCACTCTGTGAAATAAAATTGCAAAAAGAGAAAAATAATTGTAATAAAGATGGAAAAAAACAGCTGGCAAGAGAGATCTAAAGCAGTGTATCTAGAATATTTTAGTAGAAGTTGTGCCAGCAACTAAAAACTAATTTCTGCATGTTATTAACAACACGATTACTCTGTAGGTCTGCATACCAAATCTCACATTAAAGTGGTGTTAACTTGCAGAAAGCACTAAAACAAAAAGGGAAGCCAATTTAAAATTCAAATGCACTGATAAGAAGATACAAAACAAGCAGGATTAGGAATGTGACAGATAAGGAAGAATAAAGATAATCTGAAGAGCATCTGTGGAAGATGCTGACACCACTGAAGGGTCCTGTGGAAGGCAAGAAAGGCAAGAATAAACACAAAAGTTGCAGAGCATCCAAATGGAGGAAGCCAAGCAAAGACAGGAGGAGAAACTGATTAACATCTAGGAAGGCAACAGAAAGAAGCGAGCCTTTTTTTCATGTGGAAAAGGTAACTAGTAATCAGGATCAAGGCTGCTTAGGTAGTACAAAGGAGGACAGATGTCAGATGGAGAAAAGTGTTGAAAAGGCTGGCAGTAAGCAGTGTTTTTGGAATGCCTGAGCAGCAAGGAAGTGAAGAAAATTGGGTAACAGTGAAGAAGAGCTGGTGAAACTCAAGCCTGAGGGAAAAGAGAGTTTGTGCAAAGTAAAGCTTTTAAGCAGTAATGACTCAGCATAAAGGACTTTACTATGCAGTTGACTGTATATTCAACTATACAGTTTGTGCCTCACCTAATTTTGAGAAGAACTTTATGAACATGGATGTATTTTCCATCCACTAGGAACTTCAGGTCTGCAGTTTCAGGGTTGTCAAATTCCTTCTTCAGTGACTGGGCTACTGTTAGATGGTCATCAGGCTCTAGGATAAAAAGGGTAATTGATAGTGAGTGGTAACACTCATGATGATGTTTTGTCAGCTACTACCATCCTTAATAATTTATCCTTCATAATAGCAAAAACCAACCAAACATAAAAACACGTCCATTATGAACCTCCAGGAAAGCAAATAAAGGGAAGCTTTCCTCAGCTGACTCCTGCTCCAAGCAACAAGGCCTCAGAAACAAAAAATAAGTCCCTCTCCTCTACCTCATCTGTACAAGACCATAATAAAGTTAATTATTAGTCTCAGAATTGTAATACTGCATCTGATAGGAAATGCTATCAGTTGTCAGTAGATAAACCATTCTAAATATAAGGCGTTGCTTATTATAAGGTACCCAAAAGGTCAATAAAACTCAGAGTATGATTTTCTAAAATATTCTGACAAGGAGACATTATCTCAAAGCAGAAATAAGCCACTACATATAAAACTGACCAGTGCAATACACTTAAGAGTAAATACCAACAGCTACCACTCTACTCAGAAAGTGCTCTCCCTCGAGTTTTGGTCTTAGCAGCATTCTTTGGGTCAGTATATTTGTGCGTGCCACATATGTACTTACATCCCACTGTGACACTGCAACACTTGCATTGTGAAGTTAACAGCTTTGAAAAGCCACCTATCATCCACTTAGACATCTCCTGAACTGGCTCCAGTTCTGATCCTGAACTGATTTTCTGTTATTAGGTAGCCTTGAATAACTATTTTCTTTAATAACATTAACAAATTAAAAACCTCAAACATCATTCTTAGTCTAGAGAACTTTTCCTTCTTAGGATCAGAAAACGTATTATTGATTTATACAGATTTTGTGGATTGGCAATGCTAGGTCTACCAGGCTTTAAATAAAAACAGCATTCATTTGAGAACAGGGAAACACCTCCATCACAAGCATTAGAAAAAACAACACACACACTTTGATACTACTATACAAATGAAATTGCTCAGGAATATGTTCAAGAGAATGTACCAATAACTAGTTATTAGCATAATAATGACATAAGTGCTTTGGACTACAGATGAAAGGATGAGGGAAAAAAACCAATGAAATAATAATAAAAAATCCCTTTAAAATAACAATACTGTAAAACCACTTTGTTAGTCTTTATTTTGTACAAGGTGGGTTCAGACTTCTGCTATCTGAGCAAGTGCAATGACTTTATAACGATCAATGCAAAGTTGAAGCTCTACTGTAATAGTTCAAAAGATTCTGCAGGATTTAGTTATGAATCTTCAATGTCAAATAATAACTGAGATGTCCATCCATATGCAACTCCAGGTGACTTCTACAGTCCAAGGTAGGATAAATAAAATGGGATGAAGTTATGAAATTCTTAGTAAATAGGTACTTTTGTTTGTAGCTGTCTTTCTGAGATGAGTGAAACACGGAAGGGGCAGTTTTTACTTCTTATCCTCAGTACTCTGCACTAAACTGAAGAGAAATGTGGAGAAGTGGAAGGAAAACTAAGAAGAAAACTGCACTAAGGATAAGCTGGAATATGAGATACAAGACGGAACATTCATTCCCAGGACTTAAGGAGGGCCTACAAGAAAATGGGAGGAGATTCCTTATCAGAGAGTGTAGTAAAAAGACAAAGGGTAACGGTTTTAAACTGAAAGAGTGTGTACAGATTAGACATCAGGAAGAAATTCTTCAGAGGGCAGTGAGGCCCTGGCACAGCCCAGGGCCCAGAGAAGCCGTGGGTTCCCATCCCTGGAGACACTCAAGGCCAGGTTGGATGGGGCCCTGGGCAGCCTGAGCTGCTGGGTGGCACTGCCCATGGCAGGGGGAAGGAACCACATGGGCTTTAAGGTTCCTTCCAACACAAACCATTCCGTGATTCTATGATCTTAATAGCAATCAGGTATCTGAGATCCAGTAACTTGCCTTTTTAGAAGGTCAGGTAATGATCACTTGTTAGGAGACACTAAGTGTCTGAGGCCAACTCTGAATATGGGAATTTGGCTCTGTCATTCTTTGCAATCTACTTAAAAGACATATATAGACTAAAGAAAGGTTCACTGTTCCTAATGCCTCTGCATGTCTTCCTTAATTCAAACACATCTTCTCCATGGTCATTGTACAGTAACATTCAGTAGTTGCATAAAAGCTGAAGTATGAATTTGCTATTCAGACCATCATTCCAACAAAAGAATGCACCTAAAATACATAAAGAACCAAAGCATTCCCCACAGAAGCAAAGTGCACCAAGAAAACAGTCATTTTGCAGTGCCATTAGGGTTTACCAATTTTTATAACTCCATACATTTATAAATTCACAATTTAGAATTCCTAGAATGATTTTTTGCAATAAAACAACTTTAAGCTTCAATCGCAGGCACATCTGTTTTATGCACTTGGTTTTATTAACTTTATTAACGTTAAACCAAAAATATTTCAGCTCACCTACTGAGAGAAGACGCCACATAACAGCAGGGGTAGCAAAGCAAGCAAACACATCGTCAGTGCAGGCAAAGTGAGTGAGGTGGGGAAGGACCACAGACTGGCCGCGGCACTGGCCCCACATGTACACCTGGCCGCTCTGCGTCTTGGCAGCCGAAGTGTGAGCAGAGTGGCAGGCTGCAATCTCTATAACTCTAAATTTACAAGCAGAAAAAGAACAAGAGCAAGTCACTGTCACAAGAACAAAACGCAGTGAAAAAGCTCATACTTCCTGCATTTCCCTGGTGCAAAACACATCAACAAGCATACATGCACTTCAGATGGCAAGAATGTTTTCCTATCCGAAGTAGCAAAATTAAAACAGTCATCAGTGTTTCTTCAAACAGCGTGCACTCAGAAAGTTTACTGGTGAAAAAGCATTTGGGGAGTCAGGCAAGTAGGACAACACAAGCAGTGCTGCAGCAGAGCACCAGGCTGCAGCACACGCTCTGCTGACCCCTTGGCTCCCTCAGACAAAGCCACAGTGAGTTCCAAGTCTCTGCTCGCCTTCGGTGGTCCTGCACAGTGAGGTGAGCTGTTGCATTATGCTGTGGTGAAGAAGTATTTGAGAAATGGCAATAAACCAACAACCTAAACAGCTTTCTTTTAATTAAAATACTGAAGTGTCGTTACTCATACGATTCTTAGCTCTTACATTTAACAGACTTTCATTTTGAAAGTGAAAAAAATAAAACCAAACAGAGCCCTGAAAGCTGCTTCTAAATGCATTCCAGTTAGGGCATGCTATCTCAGTAATCCTACAGTTGATTTAGGATTTCATAAATGCCGCTGTGTACAGCATTGCACAATCCTCTGCTTTGCAGTCTGAACTGCCACTTGTTTGCTTGTTTTTCCAGCTGCCTAGGGAAAGTAGCTGGGAAACAACTTGTTAAAGGCTGCATGTACAAATCCTGCAGGCTTTAGCGAGGTAATATCCTCATTCACACCAGGAATATATATTCTGGCAAACAGAAGGGAAAAGCAATACACAGTATTAAAATCCATACTAAAATGTGGTACCATTTCAACTGCAGCCAAAGTGTCTGGAAAAAAAAAATCAGTTTAATTTTAAGCAAAAGCACAAACACAAAGAAACAGCAATGTTCAAAATCAGGCCGTGTCTCATTGCCACAGAGGAGCTCCCTCTCTCATCACTGCAGTAACAGTCATAGATGTCTTTAAAGGGTTATCACACTTTTTTCTTACTATCCACAATAGGAGGCCAAAATCAGAACCTCAGCAGCACAGAACAGACGGAGACATCAGCCCATATAAATACATGGCTTTGAACTAGCAATAAAAAAATTACTACCCATCAACAACTATTTCATTTGTAAAAATTAAAGCTTAATTGTCAAGCAGTGACAGCAAGAAACACTTCCCTTTCTCTCTCCCCTGCGTTATGCAATGGGTTTAATAGCAGTTATAACACAAATTGCAGATGTCCACTCCTTGTGTGTATTCTTTGTCAAACAGAGCATATTAAAATACAATTTCTGTTCAGAGGCAATAAAGCTTTTATTCTTGACTTCAAACAATGAAACCACCGAAGAGAAACTGCAATTAAGACCTACGAAGTACAGAGTGAGCTGAAGCAGAAAACAGCACATTAAAGCCCAGAACATTCAGTTTCTCAGGGGTGGTTTATAGGATGGATTCAAGCACTTCCAGTGAAAGTCAAACTTTGATGCACTGATTTTGTGTGTCAGGCAGACTTTCAATCCGTTTGCATTTAGCAACAGAACCGTGAATAATAGGTAAAAAATGATAGGCTATTTCTTGCAAAAAAATAGATTAAAAATGCCATAGTTTTGTGTAGCTCTTTTGAAAATGTGCCAACTAATGTCTGACTGTTTGAATATAAGTAAGTATTACCTGTCCTTATCCACAGTAACTGTAGTAGGGTAAGACTGGTTGCTTTTATTTCCAGTACCTAACTGGCCATATGAATTGGCTCCCCAGGCATAAATCTGACCTTCATCTGTTAGCACTAACGTATGTGCACAGCCACAGGCAACCTATAAGGAATAATAAACAGAAAAATCTTTTTTATGTAATAGGAATTTAATACAGATAGATGCATGTTATGTTATACATTAATGTCATTGATTCTAGGCCATTATAAAGACAGTCAATAAAAATGACAAATAGAGGTAAGATTATTAAAATGGAAAACAAAGGAGAAAAGTGACTGAGCAAAAATAGATCATATAATCTCAAGAGTAGAAAAAGAACAGCCAAGAACTGAGAAAGAAGGAAAGCTACAGGGCAAACAGACAGTGTGCTGAAAAAAGACAGGCCAACTCTTGCCCTGATCCTGCCCTATGGGCAATTGCACCAACCTGAACAGCTTACCACTGTAAAAATATGTGAGATTCTTCTGACTGCTGACTACACAAAAGCAGCCCCCTGTGCCAGCTTTGGTGCTAACTGGACCCTCTGTAGAGGTAATTTACATCACTGGAAGGAAACTCTCTGCATGTGGGCCTGAGGACCACCAGTGCTCATATAAAATAAATAGCCATCCAGGAAGGAGAGAGAAGAGACGAAACTCCATCTAAAACCAATTTGCCTTGTTCAAAACTGGCTCATGAATACCAACAGTTGACCAAAAGCACCCACAGATGATTTGTTCTGAATTCAAACACCCACTAGTCACTGTGGTTGAAGTGCAGTTCTAAAAGTGACATTAAGTCTAACAGAAGGACAAAATGCTAAACTGTGGCCATTTTCCTAGGAAAAAAGAAAGAAAAAAAAAAGATGGGCTCTAATGAAGAATGGGATAACCCAAGATGAGTTATTAAAATAAAGAGTTATTAAAAATTGAATTTCTTGAAGAAAAAAAGAAATGACCAAATGTTCCTAATTGCCCACTCCTCTTTGAGTAAAATCCTTACCTCACTGAAATTAATGGCAAAATTCCAACTGAACTCTACAGGATCACAGTTTATCAGAAGTCTGTTCTAAGATATATGCTTTTATTCTGATAAATGGTATTTTAAACAAAGAGATAAACAACTTCCTTCACATAAAAAAATACAGTCTAGTACCAGATCTGGAGGTTGGTGGCCCTCCCTGTGGCAGGGAGGCTGGAACTTGACGATTCTCGGGATCTCTTCCAACTCAAAGTCATTGTATGATTCCATGCTGATTCTATGAATATTCCTTAGCCTATCTTATTGTTCCTAAAGGGTTTGAGAAGGGCATTGCACACATACCCGCTGTACACGAATGCCTTGCAAGGCTGCTATTCGGCACGGTGTTGGCTGATTGCCGCTGCTGCCCAGCCCCAGCTGGCCGTTACCATTGTAACCCCAGACATAGACCTACAAGACAAGGACAGGGATTTTAGCTGTTTGTCATTCTTTTGAAAACAGTGTAACTTCTTCACCCTTCCAACAATAATTTCCTTCAGTATTTCAGCTTCCCACACTTGGGATCTGCACGTTATATGTAGATACTTCTAAGTGTATGCTCACCAAAAGTCTAATCCTTCCTCTTCACCCTGCTCTTTAGAAGTTACAACAGTGAAAAACAAGTGATTCTTTTCCCCAGCACAGAGCAAATTCAGCAGGAATACTTCCCTTTTTCAAAGAGTTAGTTTCTCATTCAAAAATCCTCTAACACAAGAGAAGACGTATGAAACCAAGTATAAACTGGAAGCTATACACAACAGTTTGAATAGACTGCTCACAGTTTTATGCTGTAAAAGGGAAATACTGAAGGCTGAGCATTTCAGTGACGTATATTCCACTGCCCTAATACAAACAGTCAATAGCTTCCTAGGTCTAAACTGAAATGCTTGGAGTGATGAATCTGGAGAGCATTGAGGCTGCCCAAAATCTTCAGCTCAAGTGAACTAAAGCAATAGGAAAACTATATCCCTTTAATATCCTCACAGAGATGGAGATTAAAAGTTTGAGAGGTGTTTGATGTGTACTGCAGTGGAACGAACATATGCTATCAAATTCATTTTCTGTTGGTTTGGTTTTTTTTGTCTTCATAATAGATGTGTTTATACAAAGACTGAATATTAAGATTGCATTCACTGATTATTCTCACATTCTTGACTGATAAGATTCTAGTATAGACCAGATAATTAATTTTGCCATAACTGCTAAAGACAGCAGTGACATAACATTAGTCAGCACCTTCATTTCTGCAAGAACATAATCCCAACTGGAAAAATCAATAAATCAGTAATAAAAAGTTACCTTTTTATGTACGAGAAAATGAAGCTAACATGAAATATTAAATACACATATATTTATGATTTAATCCCCAAATTTATAAAAATCTCCTGACCTTTAAAAACGCTGTTTTTTTTCCCTTGAGAACTGTATTTTCAAGTCAATTTTAAATTTGATCCCTGAATTCCTTCAGGTCAAAGCCAACTTCAGTAGCTGATACTAAGTAATAGCTGATCAATTTTGAGTAATCTCATAACGCAGAATTTCTCAGTGTAACTTCTTTCTAAAGAAGATGGTAAAAGCATTATGGGTAGGAAGATGTGCTTAAGGACACTGTGAGGATATGCAAGCAAATTCATGACAAAGATTTTTACAAACAGTATAAGCAGGCAAGTCAGATGGACTCTGGCAATAAATACTTCCTTTCTCCTTGGCAGCAAATTACAGAGAGGTTTTAAATGATCTCAGTGCTGTGATACATGCAATAAAGTTTAGTCCAAAAATTCACTTATTTCTTACCTCTCCATTTTCCACCACAGCCATAGAGCACATCTGTCCACAGGCTATGTTAACTACTACTTTATTTTGTAGGCAGCTGGTAACTCTTCGAGGAATTGGTTGATTAGCAGTTGAACCAGATCCAACCTGGCCTGAGTTATTATAACCCCACGTGTACACCTGTTGTAAATGAATTATCATAAATGAAAGGTATGTAACAAACATCTCTGAGTACATATTCAAGACAGAAAGATCTGTTAAATGTGTAAGAAATACATATTTAGGTTGTATTCATGTGCTCTTCTACAGATCAGGGAAGCTACATAGGTTTATAATTTAAGTGTTTCTATCAAAAACATGCAACTCACAGTATTTCTATATCCCATTCTTTAATGTTTCTCCTACCAAAGGCAAGAGGCAACACAAGAACTGCACTCATATATCACTGTTAGTTTACCAGAAGCCAAAACACAATGGCTAACTGGATTCAAATAACATCTCAAATGACAGAAACACTTTTTCCTCCAGTGCATAGAACTTCTTACACGTCATGATTTAAACTGACATCAGCTTTAGTGATATTAAGTATCTACAGTAGGGTATAGCATAGGAAGAAATGGTAATTTCTTTTTATAAACAGAAGTGACACAAAAATCAGTGTCCTGCATATACTTCAAAGTAGAGAATCTCTAAGACTTCTCATTTTTCTTCAACATTTTTGTTGCAACATCACTCTGTGGACAGAAAGAAGGAAGACTAATAGACTAGCTGCAGTGTGTTTTGCTGTTTCTTCCGTACCCAAATTTCATTAGAAGAAAAAAAAAGATTTACTCTCTAGCTTTTCTCACCTCCCCATCAGATGTTAACACCATAGAATGATGAGAGCCACAAGCAACTTCAATGACTTTCTTGTTCACCAAGTTGGTAGAGACTTGACAAGGAACCAAACCATGATTTGTTGTACCATTGCCCAACTGACTGTAAGCATTATGACCCCATGTGTACACTTCTCCTTCTGTAATAAAAAACATAAGAAGCTACTAGAAAATCTGTTTTTTCAATGACTACACAACATGAAATTACAAACTGATAAGTGAAATTCAGTAACATATTGTACATAGTTAAGTATATATATGTCCTTTTTGGCTCTTAATCCCAGGGATATACTACTGCAATCTTCTCACAGCATTTAACACAAATCCACAGTGATAGTATCCATAATATCCACACAGTCTTCATAAAAGAAATCAGAAAGCTAAAAGAAAGGAAATATAGAGCAAAACAGAAGAGCAAAAGATGAAATGACAGTCTGTTTCAGTTAATGTTTTTGTTACTGAGAATGAATCAATATTTCTGTATAAGCCCTGGCCCAGTGTTTCCCATTTTTAAAATTTCAAATAATACAATTTTCATCCTACTGCGATATAAGTAAAGATGCTTATAAGAAAAACAATTATGTAATGGTGCTGCTTATTACATAAACATGTTATTTGTGTCCTGTATTTTGAGAAACATGGTAGTAAAATTAAGAATGCAAGAAATGTGGATGCCCCATCCCTGGAGGCATGCAAGGCCAGGCTGGATGTGGCTCTGGGCAGCCTGGTCTGGTGGTTGGCGACCCTGCACATAGCAGGAGGATTGAAATGAGATGATCATTGTGGACCTTTTCAACCCAGGCCATACTATGACTCTGTCTGACTGGGTTAGACCAATAGTCTGCTGCAGAACTGTGTGTGTGCCTGGTAATTAAAAAAAAAAAGTGATGCTTAGAGGTAATGTGAACCTGAGCCTGGTCACTTTTTGCAGCTCATTCCCTGTGTACTTCCTCAGTACTTACAACTTCTGGATTAAAGATATTATAATTCTTCTGATTCACTTTAATATATGTGTACTGGTCTTATTGCTCATGAAGCTATCGTATTTGCTTTTCTTATCTGTTTTAAATCAGTTGTTCTCTAGTTCCAGTAGCCCAGATATAGTGAATGGTAGTTCTACATTCATCTTGTCTATCATCATCATTTTCTAAATGTCAATTATGCTGTTATTCTAAGAGAGTTAGATTGGACACAGAACTCCTTCAGATCTTAGATTCTTTGTTTGATATTTTCACCAAGGGTTCCTTCAAAACTACCAAAGCAAAATGTGCTATACTAAACCAGCATTTCCCTACAGTAAAAGGTTTTATCCACTGACTTTACCCTGACAAAAGCAAATAACATGAGACTATGAATTTCAGAAGATACATGAAACAGGTTCACATAGAAATTGTGGACTAACTGAAGTGAACCGTTCTGAAAAAAGTAGTATTTGCATCATACTTTACCTTCTGTAGCAAGAACAACGTGAGGGCCACTTCCATAACTCAGACAAGCTATCTTTTTGCCACATAGAGAATCTAATCTCTTTGGCTCAATTGTGCTTTGGACGTCTCCCGTTCCCAAACACCCACTGCAGTTCATGCCAAGCACAAAAACCTGTTATAAAAGAATCACACAATCATAACTTAGGGGAAAACAGACAACCAGAGGCCAATTAGTCCATCTAGTCCTTTACTCAACAAAGGTCTACATATATCAATTTACTCAAGGCCATGTCCTTTTGAGTCTTGGCCACCACCAGGGTCATTAAGCTCTCCAAGATGTAACCACTGTTACAGTAATAAAAATATTCTAATATTTCATTGGAATTTCCCATGTTCCAACTTGTGTTCATGCATCTCCAAGAAATCTTTACCTTCATCTTCTCTTTATTCCCTGAAAGTGGTAAGAGGCCAGTTTTAATTGCAAATGTCTTAGTTTTAATGAAAAGGTTCAGGTATTCAATATGCAACTTTTTCTCAGTATGCAACAGTACCAGCTTTCACAAAATCTTGACACATAAATTAGAAAATACATCACGTTCTCACACACTCTTGGACAATTACCTCATCATTTTCAGTTACATACAGCACCTCATTACCAGCACTGCCAAATACACACGCTTGACGAATTAACTTGAGCTCTTCTTGTGAACAAAGGGAAAAAATTGGCCATTTCCCAACATCCAGCATCTTCAGGGCTGACAATAATGTTGCCTCCAAGACCTGATGTTAAAGACAAATTATATCAAATAGCTACGTAGAGAGAAATATACCTTTGCATGATACAAAGGATAAATTCAGACAAACACCACTACCTGCATTCTCAACCACAGAACATTATTTTAATTTCAGAACAATACACACAGCAAAAGCGTTATAATAAACAAATAAACTGTATCATGATCTACAAAGGAAGGATCTATGTGCATGAAGACAACTACAATGTAAGAAGTTAAATGCTGTGGTCACATTTTTGCTATATTCATAGAGTGTAACTACTAGATTAGAGAATTCAAAATACAGGATTCTAATACTAAGATGTAAAGTATATATCTAAAATCTGACAACAGTGTGCTAAAATTATTGTTTTTTTTAAAAAAAAAAAAAGAAAAATCTGCCCAAAAATGTACTTATTTTTGAAAAAGACACACACTTGTTTTCACGCATTAAAAATGGAAAGTTGAGAAAACTCAAGAAACCTTTATCCTTTACTTCTGGAACTGTCTGTGTTTCGAAAGTTACTTTCTAAGAATATTTGTGTCTGTAGGTAGATATATAATATGAAAAAAAAAAGATGACAGAACATTCTCCACCTAATTCAAGGAGAAACAACAACCTTCTAGCAAAGGAAAAGAAAAATAATTCTCTCCAGACACTGAAACTAGTTAATGTCTGAATTTCACTCAACATTTTTACTGCTTTAGCACAGCATGACTCAGAAAAATGCTGCCGTATCAACTTTTAATAGCAAATTTTGCATGGAGCACTCATCAAATTTTCTTTTACTAAAATTAAAGAAGTTCTGGATGTGAAATAAAAGTAGCAGTAATTGGTAGCTCTGAAGATGAGTAAGAATAGATTTTTCCTATCACTGCATTACACAGTTTACCATGTAACAGTAAGGACTGCATCACTTGCTTACCTCTAGGAAGTATCAGACTTTCAAAATACTCTGTCATAGAAAATACAGATCTTTATATATATTTATATATATAAAATCTGTGACTGAAACAAAGCTGTGGATAAATTCTAGTTTAGAGTCACCTGTGGTAGCTGTAAGGATATCACTTTTTTGACTAATGTCACTTATGAGAAAATGTACACAGAAGCATAGATAGAAATATTTCAAACTAAAGAAATAAATCTTTAAATTAACTGTGAATTTATATCTTTCAACAAATACACTTCTAAGGAAGGAGAAGGAGGATTGGTCATGTTCCATAAGGAAAAGCTGTGGTTTTGATCACACAGTCTATTTCCCCATGTCCTCACAGCAAATAATTTAATTTAATTTAACAACCAGTCTGAAATCTGGTTATTCGGTTTTGTCATACAGATCACCTTATCAACACATTATCATGAAGCTCAAAATCTAAATGATGTGTTTCACTGAGTTCTACAGGCAGAGCGTACAAAGAAAGAGACAACAATTTGAAGTTTTCTCATCACATTATGCTCTAAAAATTAATTATTACAAGTTTGTGTTGTTGAAACACTAAGCTGAAGAACGCAACTTTCAAACTTAATACTAAATTAAATCAATCTTGTAAGCCAAAGAAGAGATTCAAACTGATTAAAATGAATGTATTGACCTTTTAATATTTTGTCGATCACATTAGTAACATTTCTTCATTATTCTACCTACAGTTTTGGTTTTCTGTTTATCTTGAAAGCTACTGGCATGTCTAAGCTAATAATAAAACCATGCTTCTTTCTCTCGAGTCGAGATGCAAGGAATTCTCAACCCAGAGTCACACTCTGACCTTGACACTGACTCCTTGAGAAGGAGGAGGTTCATCTTCCATATGGATTTGTGCTGGTGTCCCTCTGCAGAAAGAGAGTTGTAGTTAAAATCACCGTACATTTTGCTGCAACAATACTTTATAGCATTACATACATTTCTTATTAAGACCAAACTATTTGTTTGTTTCTTTGATAAAACAAAAATCACGAAGCTCAGACAACTTTGTTTTTACTTTCAACTGTACGATGATCAGTGACTCAATTTTCTGTGTCCTTACCAAATTTCTTAATACTTGCAGAAAACTTTTTTAAACAAGTAGCATAATTGAAGAAGTTTTAATAAACACAACACTCCAACAGGTTTTCATTGTAGTAAAAACGAATTTAAAACCTTGCTGATGTAATTTTCCAAGACATTCTTTTCAGGAAAGAAAAAGCACATGAATACAACTTCCCATTTGTGGCATAACCCTTTAAATATTTTTATTTCATCTTCATTCTGAAAAGCAGTGAATGGAAAAAAAAACAAACTCAAAAAAACATTTGGACATTTTCAGATTTACTGAGAATTGTTAGAATATTCGTTCTGTTTCTGAACCTCCCACAGAAAACTAAACATCTGTAAAATTCTGACAGCAGGCAGAATGACATCCAAGGGACGAGTAGCTATCATTTTACTCAGCTACTCTTCATAGGACTACCACACTTCAAAGAGGTTTTATAAAACTTCTAATTTTCTAATTTAAGTGAAAGCACAGCTCTGTATTTCTGCATTTCATCTGCAAGCATTTAATGCACAACTGGTGGTCATTATTCTTCAAGTTCTGATATTTCAATTCAGTTGCTTCTGTTCAGTCAAAGGAACACCGTTTGACTTTCAAAGCAGTGTTAGTATAAATTAAGATACTTTAGGATGGACCACTGCAGTTAGTGAATGAAAGGTTCTCCAGCCCACTACTTTTTCAGAGTTTCAGAAACATACTGAGAATTTTGAGTTAACTTTGCAACACAGATCATCTACATGTCCTCAAAATGCCAAAGTTGCTTTATCTTAAATGTAACTGAGAAAATTACTCTGCAATTCCATTCTTCAACATATTTTGTAAACGTAGACATCTTATTTCCCATCAGTCCTACAGGAGTACATAGGACACCCCAGATAACATCTTTTTATGCTGTTATTCAAATTCATTTGTTCTCATACACATATCTGCCTCTGCAGAAGTTCTTTGTAAAAGCCTGTAAGTGATTTAAGGTTATACAGAAACCACTGGATCTTGAAAGCAAAGAAGAAAAAAATATTAAATCATTAGGCCTACCTAAGAAACATTCTTATTCGTGGACCTACTGATTATTCACATTTTCTTACTCTTTTAGGAATTCTTCCTCCAGAAAAAATAACAGTGAAGCAAAAGAAAAGCAGTATTTTCATCAAACGATTAAAGAATAGAACCTGTGCACATTTGAGGACTTCAGATACAGAAGAAAAACAATGTCCAATCTATTACAGACCAGTTAGTCAGACTATTTATAGTTTTAATATACTTATATATTCTCTGAGAATTCTTACTTTAAAATAATTACCCATTACTTAAAAAAAAAAAAAAAAAAAGCAATACTTACTTTTGAAAGTAAATAGGTAAGCAACATATATTTCTCATGTATTAAAACTTTATATTCACTAGCTGCTTTTCCCCACAAAATCTAACGTGCCGATCTAAAAGAAAAAACATCATTTTTTTGTGGAGGTACACAAAGTTTCAGTACAAAAATATTTATATTAAACTTCACAAATCTCTTATCTGGAATCCAAGTACAATTTAAGAATCTGGACAGCGTACTCTGGCAGTCTGTGTCAAGACTTTTTCTGTCTCTGGATCTGCTCCAACCATGGTCTTGGCACAAGCTATGTATGCCTTTGTGGATAGATAAGATTGAGTTAAGGAACATAAATGCTGCTTCTATTAGCCAGGTTCCATTAAGAGTCTAACCAGATCACTTAATACTAAATGTTTATACAGGTTCACTGACGCATTCAAATGTAAACAATGCTGCAGATTTTCTCTCTAGGAACTTGGCAAGCTAACAGGTGGTTTTTTGTTGTTTTTTTTTTCTTTCCAGAACTCCACTTAGCATTTCCTCCCACTTAATTTGAGCATTTATGAAACTCATCTGCTGAACCAAAGATCTGTCTGGAGTATCTTGCCCCAGTAACTCTAACCACAGACTTTGGAAAGAGCAGGAGGAAAAAGTCACAGGCAAAAAAGGACTTGCTGACACTTTTAGGAAAGGGACCTAACCTCGGCTGATCTTGATTTCTCAGCAGCCATGTACCAGAGCAGTCATGAAATTATGCTAACCTGTCCAAGTGATCTCCCAGGAAAGGACAGAATGGTAATCACAAAATCACAGAATCACAAAATCTCAGAACAGAGGTTGGGGAAGGGATCTCTGGAGATCATCTAGTACAATCACCTGCCAAAGCAGGTTCCCTATGGCAGGCTGCACAGGGAAGCATTCAGGTGGGTTTTGAATACCTGCACAGAAGGTGATTCCACAGCCTCTCTGGCAAGTTTGTTCCAGTGTGCTATCACCCTTAAAGTAAAGAATTTTTCCCTTGTGTTTGTATGGAAATTCCTATGTTCCAGTTACTGCCCATTACCCTCTTTTCAGATGGTCACCACTAAAAATAGCCTGGCCCCATCCACTTGACTCCTCTCAAGATATTTATAAGCAATGATAGGATCCCGTCTCCTTTCTCTATGCTGAATAGTCCCAGGTTTCTCAGTCTTTTCTCATTAGGGAGATGCTCCAGGCCCTAATTAACCTTTGTAGTCCTCTTTTGTACTCTCTCTAGAAGTCCCCTGTCTTTCTTGAACTGAGAAGCCCAGAACTGCACACAGTATTCCAGACGTCGCCTCACCAGTGCAGACGGGGAGGATTTCTTCCCTTGACCCACTGGCCACACTCCTTTTAATGCACCCCAGGATCCCCCACTGGCCATCCTGACCACAAGGGCACGCTGCTGGCTCATGGCCAACCTGTCATCCACCAGGACCCCCACGTCCTTCTCCACAGAGGTCATATTATCAACAGCTACTCCCGCTGAAGAGATTACATTTCTTTCCCAAAAAGATGTGAGTCTACATTCAAAATTAACATCCTTCTTCATGTACAGTGAAATGTCAATACTTTGTCCAGTGCTGACCATAAACTGACAGAAATCAGCTTTTCATTTCTCTCTCCACTGATGCAACATTGTCCATTACCAAGAAACTGCAGACCCTGAAAAACAGTAAGTGGTTGGTTGAACAGCTGCTATCTCCAACTAAAGAATGGTCTTCTCTCATTCCCTTCTTGCCTCCTGACACCAGACTGTGACATCTCAGCTCGTGATGCAAAGCTCTTCTGGGTGCATACTAATTTCAAAAGCAAAGGTACACATAATTTAGAAGCTAAATCCATGAACCTTTCAAAGACTGAAACCTTGACAGTCTTCCAGATTGTCATCCTTGACCTTGCAAGGCAACTGTTACAGAAATTTTGAATTAAAATGACCTATGACAGTGTTATTGTCTCACTCTACAGAGACAAAACTTTAGCCAAATACACCTTGTCAGCCAAAAAAACCTTGTCAGATGCCATTTCTCTTTTAGCATGATAACCCAGTCTGGCTGGGACAGACCTCCAGAAATACCTCACTGAATTTATCAGAGGTCCATCTACATGCAGAGTGGTTTTTTGGAGCTGGATACTTGAAATCTATTGGCAGAGGCCTTTTTTCTTTCTTTTTTTTTTTTTTTTTCCAGTAATATCATCATGTTAGAAAGAAATTAATTGCCAAAAATGAAAGCGGTGAAGAAGCTGGAAATAATAAACAAAAAGGAAAGAAAAAGCAAGGATCATAGGGAGAATACTGCCACATTCAGCACCGTCCTTTAATACATGCTCAATACCACTTTGATAAAGCCTGAATACTTCAAGCAAAAGCATTCTGAAACACATGAGAAGACAGGAAAGAAAACAGAAGACGTGACCTTTCAACTCTCCAATGGATTAAAAAAAAGTGTCTGAGTGTAATGTGAAATTCCTGCTCTAAGTGACAACACTGCTTTGAAAATCCTATGAAGATTCCTGGGACACCTTCTCCTCACTTACAAAAAAAAATCCTGGGAGATTTGGACTTGCAAGAAAATCTGACTGAGTTTTATAAAATTCAATAAGACTTTTCTAAGTCGTAAATAATAAAGATGATAAAACACACTATCCATTACTAACATTATTTCTCCTATCCCTATTCTAATTACTCTTTTTCCCCTTAGAACTGATGTCAGATATAGAATGGTGTATTGTTTACCAGTAAGCAACAAGAATGGAACTGACTGGAAAAATGCATCATTATCTACCAGAGAAAAAATGTTTAAAGCAGAAGAAACAATTCTCCAATTCTTTTTTCTCATTCTACAAACCATCCAGCTACCCTGATAAAATCATCTGAAAGCCTTGGCTATCCATCTGCTGGTTTAGAAAACAAAAAAAAAAGTCAAGGTCAGCAGCTAAAAAAGTCTAATTAAAACCGTCAATCAAAAATATTTTTAATTTAAAATGTTTTCACTTATTTCTACAAGTGCAAAAACACCTTCTGAAGGCAATCAAGTGTTTCAGATTTTGGAAAGTAAATGCACAAACTGCCTTCAGGGCTCAACACTACTGTAAGAATGCCAGGGTCACTTCCACATGCATAGTTCTGCAGTAAAAAAGAGTATTATCTCCAGATCTTGAAGATATTAAAATAATCAAACATTTTCTTAGATAGTTTCTTGGTAAAAGGATATTATTCCTGTATCTGTTTCTAAGCTGAGATGCTGAAGAATTTCTTTTTTTAATGCCAGATCCCAGATTTTCAGAAAATTAACCTGAAAGTTTCTCTTTGCTAAACTGTTAGCCAAATTCCAAGCACACTTCAGTTCCTGTAATCCATGTAGATACAAACATAAAATATTAACAACTGATGCAGTTATTAGCTCCTGTCCATTTCAAACACTACATAAAATTAAATTTACTATATAGTTGATTTGGTATAATTAACACACACTGATTCTTCATTTTGACTTTCCAACATGAAAATTCAAAGAACCAGCTTTAGGGGAAAAAGAGTATTCAGATTATTTGGTTTTAGAAGATCTTTATTAAAGATATCAATTAAGTAGCACAGCCAATTAATTCAAAATAATGCAATAAATGTGAAAGGAATAGATGGTTATATTTTTATAAACTTAAGAAATCATAGTACAGAAAATGTTTAAGGTTTAAGAATGCAAGAAATGCTAACAGCTCACCATGTTTATCAGGATAAATTGTGTACAAGCTTGAGATTTAAGTAGTATTGCACCTACAAGGGGGAACCTGACTAAACACAGATCAAACAGTATAGGAACAGCATGTCAGGAAAGGGTCTTTCTTTTATTATGTAATCATAAATTCCATCTTGCATTTATAGAAAAACAACAAACAAATGCACTTACATTGTTATGCCTCCTCTATGGGAATCTAACCTACCTGAATTGTTATTGGACAGCAGTTACCTGACCCAGCCAAGTTCTGATCCATAGATCAGTGTAACTCATGAGGATCTTTTGACTTCATATTCTCCTTGAGCTGTTAAAGAAGAATGCGGTTTCTATAGTTGTAATCTTTGACCACTTCCTTGGATGTCCAAGAATGGTCTTCCATTTAAGCTAAACTTCAATTTACAAAATGTACCTTCTACAAGGTACAAAATCAAACAAAAACTAACTAAACAAGCCCATAAGCACTACACTAAACCACACCTTTCTCTTCTACCTTCCTGGTTTGCTTAGATTTAACACAGTTTTTCAGCACACTGGGTCACCAAAATAAGGGTTTTTTTTTTTTTCCAGATCACGTCTAACAATACCACAGCATGAATCAGTGGCTGTAGTTAAACCTCCCTCTTCTCCCTCTAGCATTAGGCACCTGCAGGAGACTTTCCCATGAAGCATAAAAGACCAGGTAGGGTAGGAGGGGGGTGTATACCCCAAACCTTCCCCCATACAATGTCAGAATCTTCAGGCTATTTTACCTCAATTTTTTCACTCAGTGGTCTTATTTCTACTCTTGTTTTTCCTTACATGATTAAAGAAGCTTTTAAAACTCTTGCCTTTAACTAACTCAGACTTAATTCTGGCAATTTTCACTTCATCAGTACACTTTATCTCCTGCAGCTTTCTTTGTTTATCCATCCCTTTTCTACTCATTATACCCCAAATTTTTTTTGAAATATATAAAAATCAGGCAGACCTCTTTTTTTTTGTTTGTTTTGGTTTTTGTTTGTTTGTTTGTTTGTTTGTTTGGTAATATTACTTCCAAATGAATTCTACCTTTGACATAAAATAATTTCATACCTTCTTTGCTTCCAGGGCCCTCAGGACTCCTGTACAACTGACATCTCACTAGATAATCCCTTTGATTTTTCAGTTGCCCCTTTCGACATTGTGAATTTCAATATATCTTTCTTTATCCCTGTACTGTATTTCTATAATCAAACTAAAAATGTGGTATCAGGCCAAAAGCTCTTCTCAGAATTTTTTACACCTAATGAAAGTGACTCTAGGGCAATGCAGTACCTGCTTAGTAAGCTTGGAGCAGATGTATGCGAGAACAATTGGGCTTGTATGTCATCTGCATTGAATAAAGAACTCCACCTGCAACATAATTCCTGATGGTATCACAAGTAAGCACTATCCTTATCCAAATCTAGCTCTTCTAGACTATAACAGAAACCATCAAAAGCTCTTATAATTTTGTTTTTCATCAAAGCTAGATAAGCTTGATTCTTGTTTATCTACACTGCTTCCTTCTGTTACTTTACAGTTCATTGTAAGGACATGTATCCATATTACACTGTCACATCTATTTCTCATGCCTGGACAGCATTAGCTCTCCTAACTCACATGCATCAGGATCGTTATTTTCTCCATGTTTCTCTATGCACCATGTCTACTCTCACATCCTTCACCACTAGTCCAGCCCAAATGTTTCACAGCGGTACGCAAAAACAACTGTCTATGGACCATATTCAGTCTGTAACAAGGAGTAAAATCCCTCTGCTAATTTTACCCTTTTTTATTATTTATCAATATTAGAACTTTCATTTCCAGAAGGAAACACAATGTGATTCCCTAGTCTCTCAAGCAATAACAATCCTTTGTTATTTGTTAAGTCTTAATTTCTGTTTTTCTTTTTCTGCACTAAGACTGTGATCAAACACCGAGCTAAGCTTGTCTAACATACTGCAAACTTCATACTGCTTCATGAGCAGCAAGGTGCCCTCACAGCACAGAAAGCCGACCCTGTCCTGGGCTGCATCCAATAGCAGTGTGGCCAGCAGGGCGAGGGAGTGATCCAGCCCCACTGCCCTGCACTGTGAGGCTTCGCCCGGA